ATAAAATACATGAAGCACGGGGGCCTCGTAAGATATTATACGACCGAAACAGTCAAAGGGTTAAATAATGATGAGGTTAATTATCCTCTTCCATTTATATAACAATGTTGGTTAATTATCCTCTTCCAGTTCTGTTTGACTAGTATTAGTTTCATTAGAAATTTAAATTTAACATCCAGTGCTGTACTAGCAAGTCGAAATAAAAAAAAAAATTATGTTGGAAATTTTGATACTATAGTGTTTCTTTGCTGCAGGTTCTGGAGCATGTCCGCTTACCACTGCTGAGTCCGAAGTTCTTGGTGGGAACTGTTGGATCAGATCTTCTTATTAAGAGTGATGAGGTAAATTAAATAGTTATTATGGTTTTGTTTTTTCTCATGTATTTCTTGTGATTACTGTTGTGATTCATTGTGGAGCTAATTCATCTCTTGCATTAATTTTTTTTTTTTTGCTTAACTCTTGTTGATATTCTTTGCTACAGACTTTGAAGTAATATTTATTATATTTCTGTGTTCCTGATTTATCACATGTGTATTTTATGTATCACCTCTGACGCATCTCATCTGATGTACTATGATATACCAGTATCATCTCTGATTAACTGTTATGCTTTACCGTAATGTCTAGATTTTCAGTTTCTTTTGCTTTGTAAATATACAAGTTTCCCTTCATGATCTGGATTTACTTTTGTGTGAATTTATTTTTACATTTATTTTTACCAAGTTCATTTACACTTCATGAATATTCATTTCATGTATGTATAAAGTGCAAAGGGCAGTTCCTGCACTTTGAAGGTGGAGTGGGGATGGTGTAGTAGAATGGTAACATGAATTGAGATGTTGTCACACTTCTGATTATAAGACAAGAATTGAATGAATGATGCTGAATGTGTTTCAAACTTTGGATCACCCCTGCCTGTAGAGGTATTATTTATGTTTTACTAAGAAGGAATTTTAAATAATGTACAGTAAACTGTCAAGGCACAGTCTGTTAGGACATTATTGCTATATGATAGTTTAAAAATTCTGGCATTTTTTGATCATGACTATGATGTTCATTTATGGCATGCAAATTTAGGGAAAAATATGGAATGCTGCAGGAGCTTTTCCTTCTGTCTCACAGCCAGCCTATGGGTTAGGCTATTGCTTTTTAACCCTTTCAGGGTCCGTCCCGTAGATCTACGGCTTCACGTTGAGTGTCCAAACCGTAGATCTATGCCAAAATTCTAGCGCCGTCAAATTTAGCGCGAAAGCGCTCATAGGCCTACATGTGAGAGAACAGGTCTCCATGGTGGGTCTGCGCCATAAACAAAAAATCTAGGCGCCCGCATAGCATTGTGGGAACGCCGGCTCAGTTACCCTTGTTCACCATGTCTCGTCGCAAGTCAGCTCTCACTCCCCGGAAAGTTGGGACTCTCCTCTTCCTATATGATAGTTCTGACACTGATGGAAGTGGAAATGAAGATGAATTCTACGGCTTTGATCAGTTAGTGACTGAAAGGAATGACCAGGATATCGATAATAGTGCAGAAAACCCTGACGATCCTCAACCTTCTAACCTCTGGGTGGGCACTCGTGACTCACGGTGGTTGTGCCTCAACGCAAGGAAAACTAATATTTTCACGTGGCCAGGCTCTGACTTCAGTAATGATGATGATAGTGACGTGGATTGTGATTTTATTGCTCTCGACGATCATTCGAGTAGTGATAGTGAGGAATCATATTCACCAGTGAGGCGTCGGTATGCTCGCCGCTGCATGCGCTCGGGTAGTGTACCCTATGCTGTGCCCAGGGGACGGAGTACATCCCGGAGTACATCCCGTGGCCCTACACCAGTTTTAGGTAGTGATAGTGAGGATGATGTGGCTACACTTGGCATGGATAGACCACAGGCATCAGTGGATGGTGGTAGTGGTGATGGTAGTGGCACCGCCATGCGTGACTCACCAGCCCAGGCTGGGACCCACGCTGCTGACTCGTCAGTTCAAGGACAAAGCGGAGCGTCAGCCACCAGCCCACCACAACCACAATCACCCGCACAACCAGCCTATGATGTCCAGTATCCACCAGCAAACCGTATGTGGGATTGGCAGCAAAATCCCAATTTTGTTCTCAAGCCTCACCACTTTGATGACTCTCAAAGTGGAATTCTATCTACTTGTCCCCTTGGAACCACAGCCAATGAACTTGAATTCTTTGAATTATTCTTTGACCAGCCATTGATGGAAACTATTGTCAGGGAAAGTAATAAGTATTTTGAGTACACCATGGCAAATACGATCTTATCACCACAGTCAAGACTACACAGGTGGAAAGAGACGACTGTTGCAGAAATGTATTTGCTTTTTGCAACAATAATGCTTATGCCTCATGTCTATAAGCATAATATAAAAGCATACTGGTCCACAGACCGGCTAATTTCTACCCCGGTCTTCAGTGAAATCATCTTACGTATGTTGCACTTCTCTGACAAAACCAGGCCTGACAGAAGTGATAGGTTATGTAAGATTAGAAATGTTTTCATGTATCTCAAACAAAAGTTCAGCATATACTTTTATCCAATCAAGAATGTTGTAATTGACGAGTCTTTGATTTTGTTCAAAGGTAGACTGTCATTCAAGCAGTATATACCGAGCAAGAGGAAACGCTTTGGTATAAAACTGTTTGTACTCTGTGACTGTGACAGTGGCCTGGTGTTGGATATTGTTGTATATACGGGAAGTAAAACATTGAAAGATACCAAGATGTTATTGGGTATCTCAGGTGACGTAGTGAGAAACATGATGGCACCTTATCTTGGTAAGGGGCATACATTATATACCGATAACTGGTACACAAGCCCATTACTCAGTGATTTCATGCGAGTGAACAAGACAGATGTGTGTGGCACAGTGCGTTCTAATCGTAAACATATGCCCAGGCTCAACGCAGGTGCTCGTGGTGATGACGTGCAGGTGTTTACTGCCAATGACATCATGGCATTATGGTGGCATGACAAACGAGATGTCACATTGTTGACAACCATTCACCGTAATGAAATGCAAGACAGTGGCAAAGTTGATCGAGTGACTAATGAACGTATTCGAAAACCAGTGACAGTGATTGATTATACACAAAACATGCGCTTGGTTGACAAATGTGACATATAGATTGGTTTTGTTGACTGTGTTCGTAAGAGTTACAAGTGGTACATGAAACTTTTGTTCCATCTCATGGACATTTCAATGCTCAATGCATATAATATGTACCAAATAAAGACTGGCAACAGACCACCGTATGGTGAATTTTGTTTGTCTGTTGTCAGACAACTCATAATGATGTACCAGGTAAGAACACCTGCTATACAACAAGGTCCTCGAATTACTCAGGATATACCCAAGCGTTTGAGGAGGGAAGGTGATCATTTCATAATACAGCTTCCTTCAACTCAGAAGAAATTTGCTCAGAAGAGATGTATCGTCTGTGCAAAACAAAACGACGGCAACAAAGACGCAAAGACACTCGGTTTATGTGTGAGGAATGTAAGGTGCCTCTGTGCATGGTGCCTTGTTTCAAGGAGTTCCACAAGCTCCAGCAGTTCTAAAACCATGTCCAGTGATTGTAAATATGTAAATATATGATAGAACATTAGTATTATACAAGATTTGTGCATGTTTATTGTAATAAACAACAGTGGTAAACAATAATATGGTAATAACTTTAGTGCAGTTATTGTGTTCAATACAGTGAGTTTATATATATACATTATATACAGTATTGGTCTCTCAGGCCCCAAATGTTAGTAGGAAAAGAAAAAAATTGGAAAAGAAAAGAAAAAATATAAAAACCGCTAAATAATATAATGCGCGTATGTGGAATTCGTTGATGTTGCCGCCACCACATCATTTTGGACAAACTTCTTGGCACTGTATCTCGGCAAGTACTGATCAGAATTTTTTTTTTTTGTCTTATTACCTTCATGAAACCATACCCCCGGCCGGGATTGAACCCGCGGTCATAGAGTCTCAAAACTCCAGCCCGTCGCGTTAGCCACTAGACCAGCTAGCCACAATAAGATTCATCCAACTAGGTATATTTCTACACCATAGGAAAGTTAGCACAGGCACCTCTGTGACCACAAATGCAAGTTTTTACAGACGAATCTCCAGCTAGCGTGGCCGTGACGAACTCTAGCTCAAGTCCCTTCACTGCCGTCAACATGACTTAAGAAACCGTAATGACACGATTGCAAATAAACCATACCCCCGGCCGGGATTGAACCCGCGGTCATAGAGTCTCAAAACTCCAGCCCTCGCGTTAGCCACTAGACAGCTAGCCACAATAAGATTTATCCAACTAGGTATATTTCTACACCATAGGAAAGTTAGCACAGGCACCTCTGTGACCACAAATGCAAGTTTTTACAGACGAATCTCCAGCTAGCGTGGCCGTGACGAACTCTAGCTCAAGTCCCTTCACTGCCGTCAACATGACTTAAGAAACCGTAATGACACGATTGCAAATAAACCATACCCCCGGCCGGGATTGAACCCGCGGTCATAGAGTCTCAAAACTCCAGCCCGTCGCGTTAGCCACTAGACCAGCTAGCCACAATAAGATTCATCCAACTAGGTATATTTCTACACCATAGGAAAGTTAGCACAGGCACCTCTGTGACCACAAATGCAAGTTTTTACAGACGAATCTCCAGCTAGCGTGGCCGTGACGAACTCTAGCTCAAGTCCCTTCACTGCCGTCAACATGGACGGCAGTGAAGTGGATGTGGAAGAGTTGGTGGAGGACCACAACAAAGAGCTAACCACTGAGGAGCTGCAAGAGCTTCAGCAGGAACAGCAACAGATGGCAGCTCTGAATCTTGCTGCAGAGGAGGAGGAAGAGAGATGGAGGAAGGTGCCTTCTTCAGAAATTAAGGAGATTTTTGAAATGTGGGGTAGGATGGAAAGATTTATGGAGAAACATCACCCAGAGAGGATGTTGCAAGCCATATCGGCAACTTGTACAGTGACAGAGTCTTGGCCCATTTTAGGGAAGTTTTAAAGAGACGCCAGAAACAGAGCTCTCTGGACAGTTTTTTGCGAGACAGGACTCCAGTGACTCTCAAGGTAGTCCTAGTGGCATTAAGAAACAGAGAAGAGAAGTAACCCCAGAAAAGCAATTGGTACCCGAGGTGTTGATGGAAGGGGATTCCCCTTCCAAACAGTAATTCATCCAATCAGTCTCATTCTCCAGTCTTCCATACACAAAGAAGAATCACCAATAAAGGTAAGTGTTATTCTGTTAATGTTTAATTCATCATGTGCCACTGTATTGTTTATGTACTACATCTATATTTCATGTAAAAAAATTTTTTGTTTTAATACTTCTGGGTGTCAGGAACGGATTAATTGAATTTACATTATTTCTTATGGGGAAAATTAATTCGTAAATCGTCCATTTCGATAATAGTCCCACTTCCAGGAACGGATTATGGACGATTATTGAGGGACCACTGTTCGTAATAAAGATACACAACATATCTCTCCAAACTGCCAATATCCCAAACCCCTCCTTTAAAGCGCAGGCATTGTACTTCTCATTTCCAGGACTCAAGTCCAGCTATATAAAAATAACCGGTTTCCCTGAATCCCTTCACTAAATATTACCCTGTTCACACTCCAACAGCTCGTCAGGTCCCAAATACCATTCGTCTCCATTCACTCCTATCTAGCATGCTCACGCATGCTTGCTGGAAGTCCAAGCCCCTCGCCCACCAAACCTCCTTTACCCCCCTCCCTCCAGCCTTTTTGAGGACCACCCCTACCCTGCCTTCCTTCCCCTACAGATTTATACACTCTCCATGTCATTCTACTTTGATCCATTCTCTCTAAATGACCAAACCCTCTTCAGCCCTCTGACTAATACTTTTATTAACTCCACACCTTCTCCTAATTTCCACACTCTGAATTTTCTGCATAATATTTACACCACACATTGCCCTTAGACAGGACATCTCCACTGCCTCCAATCGCCTCCTCGCTACAGCATTTACAGCCCAAGCTTCACACCCATATAAGAGTGTTGGTAATACTATACTTTCATACATTTCCTTCTTTGCCTCCATAGATAACATTTTTTGTCTCCACATATACCTCACCGCATCACTCGCCTTTTTTCCTTCATCAATTCTATGATTAACCTCATCCTTCATAAATCCATCCGCTGACACGTCAACTCCCAAATTTCTGAAAACATTCCACTTCTTCCATACACTCCTCCCCCAATTTGATATCAATTTTTCTTTATCTAAATCATTTGATACCCTCATCACCTTACTCTTTCTATGTTCACTTTCAAACTTTCTACCTTTACACACACTCCCCAAACTCGCCACTAACCTTTGCAATTTTTCTTTAGAATCTCCCAAAAGCACAGTATCATCAGCAAAAAAGTAACTGTGTCAATTCCCCATTTTGTATTTGATTCCCCATAATTTAATCCTACCCCTCTCCCCAACACCCTAGCATTTACTTCTTTTACAACCCCATCTATAAATACATTAAACAACCATGGTGACATTACCATCCTTGTCTAAGACCTACTTTTACCGGGAAGTAGTCTCCCTCTCTTCTACACATGCTAACCTGAGTCTCACTTTTTTTTTTTTTAACAAGTCAGCCGTCTCCCACCGAGGCAGGGTGACCCAAAAAGGAAGTACTTTCATCATCATTCAATTCTTTCACCTCACTCCACTTAATCACTGTTTTTGCAGAGGTGCTCAAAAAAAAACAGTGATTATGTGTTAGTGAGGTGAAAGAATTGAAATATGATGAAAGTTTTTTCTTTTTGGGGATTTTCTTTTTGGGTCACCCTGCCTGGGTGGGAGACAGCCGACTTTTTAAAAAAAAAGCTCTTTAACACATTTAGTAACTTACCACCTATTCCATAATTGCAACATCTACCACATTCCCTCCCCTACCACTCTATCATATGCCTTTTCTAAATCCATAAATGCAATAAAAACTTCCCTATCTTTAAATACTGTTCAATGCTGTTCAGTATCTAAATACTGTTAAATACGCCTTGGAAAAGTAAAAGAATCCTTCCTCTGTAATCCATTTATGTTGTAAGAGGTGACTAAAATGTTGGGAAAAAGGGGGATAAAAACCCCCTTCCGTATAAATTACAAAATGTAAAAAGAAGAAAAGGAACATTTCTTCTTTTTCAGGTCACCTGCCTTGGTGAGAGAGCCACTGGGGGTTTTTAAAATAAAAAATCAATTAGTTTAAATGTAGAATTTGTAGTCTCAAGAACAAATCCCTATCTTTTGCATGTGCAAGGGGAATTGCTCTCTGTGCCATTTCCCAGGAATCATCTCCACATACAGAGATGAAGATCGTACATGTATATGTATATTTATTTTGTGTGTTTTTAAGCAAGTGATAGGTCATACTAAACTGTGATCATCAAACAACACACTTAATTTTTACTCTTTCCCTCACTCTTGTGGGAAAATGGGGAAGAACCAGTTGTGAGTGTGGGGGGAAGTTCGTGAGGCAAATGGGTAGAACGAAAGGGGGTAAGGCAGCAAGGATTGACGGGATAACAGATAGAAGTGTTAAAAGCAGGTGGGGATATAGTTTTTTGAGTGTTGGTGCTTTTATTTAAAGTATAGAAGGGTAAGGTACCTAGGGATTGGCATAGAGCATGCCCTAATTCTTTTGCAAAAATTCCTTGCAAAAATTATAGGGAAAATAAGACTGTTGAGTATACCTGGTCAAGTGTAGGTAGAGTTATTATTGAAAAGAATTAAGAGTAAGACGGAGAGTTGGATAGCAGATGAACAAGGAGGCTTTAGGAAAGGTAAGGGTGTGTAGCACAAGTGTTTTTCAGTGAAACATGTAGGTGAACAGTGATTTGATAAGGGTAAAGAGGTTTTTTGGAATTTATGGATATGGAAAAGGCAATTTTACAGGGTGGATAGGGGGCAATGTGGGAAAAAGTTGCCAAATGAAAGCAGTGAAGAGTTTTTTATGAGGATAGTGAGGCTCAGGTTAGAGTAGTAGAGAGAGGGAGATTATTTGCAGTAAAAGTAGGCCTTAGACAAAGATGTGTGATGTCACCATGGGTTCAATATATTTATAGATGGGGTTGTAAGAGAAGTGAAAAACTTGGTGTTGGCAAGAGGTGGGTTAAAAGATAAAGAATCTAACACAAAGTGGGGGTTGTCACAGTTGCTCTTTGCTTTTGGGAGATTCTGAAGAGAAGTTACATTGGTTTGGTGGATTTAGTTTGGCAGGGTATGTAAAGAAGAAAAATTAAAAGTGAATATAGGAAAAAGTAAAGTGATGAGGATAAAACAAAAAAAATAGGTGATGAAAGATTGGATATCAATTGAAGGGAGAAAGTATGGAAGAGGTGAAAAGTATTCAGATATTGAGGAGTGGGATGTGTCAGCAGATGGGTCTATGAAAGATGAGGTGAATCATAAATTGATGAGGGGAAAAAGTGAGTTGGTGCACTCAGGAGTCTGTGGAGACAAAGAACTTTGTCCATGGAACAAAGAGGGGGAAAGTATGAGAGTGTATAGTTTATACCAACATTCTTATATGGGTGTGAAACATTGGTGGTGAATGTTGCAACATGGAGAAGGCAAGAGGTAATGGAGATATCATGTCTAAGGGCAATGTGTGGTGTGAAGATAATGCAGAGAATTCGTAGTTTGGAAATTAGGAGGAGGTGTGGGATTACCAAAACTATTTTCCAGAGGGCTGAGGAGGGGTTGTTGAGGTGGTTCGGACATGTAGAGAGGATGGAAGGAAATAAAATGACTTTGAGTGTAAATCTGTAGTGGAGGGAAGGCAGGGTATGGGTCAGCCTAGGAATGGTTGGAGGGAAGGGGTAAAGGAGGTTTTGTGTGTGAGGGGCTTGGACTTCCAGCGAGCATGTGTGAGCATATTACATAGGAGCGAATGGAGACAGATGGTTTTTAGGACTTGATGTGCTGTTGGAGTGTGAGCAGGGTAACATGAAGGGATTCAGGGAAACTGGCAGGCTTGACTTGAGTCCTGGAGATGGTAAGTGCAGTGTCTGCACTCTGCAGGAGGGGTGTTAATGTTGCAGGTTTATAACTGTAGTGTAAGCGCACCTCTGGCAAGACAGTGACGGAGTAAATGATGAAAATTTTTCATTTTTCGGGCCACCCTACCTTGGTGGGAGACGGCCGATGTGTTAATAATGAAAAAAAATAATTTCGAGTATTGTTTTGAAAATCTTTCAGTACCTGAAATAGGCCAAATTGTTTTAAGAAAGCTTTAAACAAATTTTAAAACAGATTATAAATTCTTTTATTTATTTGCTTTCTTATTAAGATGATATAGTTCTTAACATAGTAATATTTAAATATAATGAAAAAGTTCTTATGAATTTTCCAGGCATGTAGAGATCTAGTTGATGAAGCAAAGAACTATCTGCTACTGCCTCAAGAGCGCCCCCTCATGCAAGGTCCTCGTACGAGACCAAGAAAAACCCATCAAGACTGGGGAGGTGCTTTTTGCAGGTTAGTTTGAATCTTATTGATTTGTTTGATAATTTTAACATTTGGTAATATATCCACTGACTTATTAGTGTTAAAGAGTATTGAAAAGAATTTTTTTTTTGAAGAATGGTTTTTTTTTGTAAATCTGTATTAAATGGTTTTTTTTTGTAAATCTGTATTAAGATAAATTTCCCTGTGTGATGATACAGTATAGGCATCTTTGTTTACTGCAGACTACTGGAGACATTTAAAACAAAGAAAGTACATATATAGCAAGTACTGTATTTTGAGTGTGCTGCTCTAGTCCAGCAAGAGAACAAGCATCTAATCTGTCCTTCATGAACCACTCACATGTAGACAGCAAAGAAAGAGCTTGAAAGAAAGGTGGGAAGAACACCCAATTTTTAAATCCACTTAGGGACACCATATGCTGTCCTATATTTGATCCAGCCAAGACTAATACTGTACATTGAAAAACCTTGTCCTCAATCCTACCCTAGAAAATGTGAAGATGGTTTGTTGCTTGAATTTTCCAGCAGGAGCCTATTTTCATCTTGGCTCACATTATTTTAGGATAAAATCTGGATGCATGTATTATTAAAGTATGGAATGAGATAATTCCCTGATTGTAATTATTATTACACGAGTCTCCTGAAATTGTTTTTTCAGTCAGTTTACCAAAATTTTTTGTACAAATAACTTTTTAAAGGTTTTAATGACTGAAACTACTACTGTACAACTCATTGGGTTCTCCTTTTTTTTCATATATGCTTTGTATATTCTACCTTAATGCAAGAAATAATAGAGAATTATTTTGTGTACTTGTGTAATTAGGACAGGGATAACCTACCTGCCTCCTCTGTTTCATTTATCATAACTTGGTAATATTTTGGCTATAAAAAAAAATGATGGTGGGTAAAGTCAGATTATTTTCACATGTCTAATAATTTACCCATTGTAAACCTGACTTTTTTCATATTGATATTGATATTGATATTGAGCCCAAATATATAAGGATTTGATATATGAAATATCTTTATTTTTGGTTTTAATAAAAATCTTGTTTTCAGTTGGTGGTTGGTGTAGTGGTGATGCCATAGCTTCTGTTGAGAGGTTTGAGCCTACAACATGTGAGTGGCGAATGTGGCTCCAATGAGCAAGCGACGTTGTGGAGTTGGAGTTGCAGTGTTGTCTGATTTACTGTATGCTGTTGGAGGACATGATGGACAGTCTTACCTCAATAGTGTGGAAAGGTGAGTTTACAAATTTTTATTTAAAAATTAGTTTCAGACAAAATTTATATATGTGGATTTAGTACCAGTTTGCCAAGGCAGTCATTCCACATGCAAGAGCTGTGAAAATACTGCATTCACAGCTTCAGACTATATTACTTGACATTGCCAACATGAAATGGCTAATTATAATATATGGTATATCTGAGTGACAGAGTAGGGGAGTTAGTAGATGGGGAGATGGAGGTTATGGTAGATGGCAAGGATATTTTGAGAAACTTTTAAATATCGACGAAGAAAGGGAGGCGGTAATTTCATGTACTGGCCAGAGAGGTATACCATCTTTTAGGAGTGAAGAAGAGCAGGATGTGCGTGTGGGGGAGGTGCATGAGGCATTACGTAGAATGAAAGGGGTAAAGCAGCTGGAACTAACGGGATCATGACAGAAATGTTAAAAGCAGGGAGGGACATAGTGTGGGAGTGGTTGGTATTTTTGTTGGTATTTTGTTCGGGAGAGGGGCGGGATTAAATTATAGGGAATTAAATACAAAATGGGAAGTGACACAGTTACTTTTTGCTGATGATACTGTGTTTATGGGAGATTCTAAAGAAAATTTGCAAAGGTTAGTGGATGAATTTGGGAATGTGTATAAAGGTAGAAAGTTGAAAGTGAATATAGAAAAGAGTAAGGTGATGAGAGTATCAAATGATTTAGATAAAGAAAAATTTGATATCAAATTGGGGAGGAGGAGTATGGAAGAAGTGAATGTTTTCAGATATTTGGGAGTTGACGTGTCAGCGGATGGATTTATGAAGGATGAGGTTAATCATAGAATTGATGAAGGAAAAAAGGCAAGTGGTGCGTTGAAGTACTTATATGTGGAGACAAAAAACGTTATCTATGGAGGCAAAGAAGGGAATGTATGAAAGTATAGTAGTACCAACACTCTTATATGGGTGTGAAGCTTGGGTGTAAATGCAGCAGCGAGGAGGCGGTTGGAGGCAGTGGAGATGCCCTGTCTAAGGGCAATGTGTGATGTAAATATTATGCAGAAAAATTCGGAGTGTGGAAATTAGGAGAAGGTGCGGAGTTAATAAAAGTATTAGTCAGAGGGCTGAAGAGGGTTTGTTGAGGTGGCTTGGTCATTTAGAGAGAATGGATCAAAGTAGAATGACATGGAGAGCGTATAGGGGTAGGGGTCGTCCTCAAAAAAGTTGGAAGGAAAGGGTAAGGGAGGTTATGTGTGCGAGGGGTGAGCAGGCGTGCATGAGTGCATTCGATAGGAGTGAATGGAAATGAATGGTATTTGGGACCTGACGAGCTGTTGGAGTGTGAACAGGGTAATATTTAGTGAAGGGATTCAGGGAAACCGGTTATTTTTATATAGCCGGACTTGAGTCCTGGAAATGGGAAGTACATGTACAGTGCCTGCACTCTAAAGGAGGGGTTTGGGATATTGGCAGTTTGGAGGGATATGTTGTGGATCTTTATATGTATGTGCTTCTAAACTATGGTATTCTGGGCACCTCTGCAAAAACAGTGATTATGTGTGAGTGAGGTGAAAGTGTTGAATGATGATGAAAGTACGTATTTTCTTTCTTTTTGGGTCACCCTGCCTCGGTGGGAGATGGCCGACTTGTTAAAAAAAAAAATATATATGTTCTGATAATGGCAGTTTATAGTAGTTCTTGTCATTTCATAACCAATCTTTGTTATGACACTAGTATTAGGTACTGAAATTGTACTTAAATTGTCACAAACATGCTGACAGGTGGACATTTTCACCTGCCTTGGCCATTTACTTTTGTCTTGGAATACAGTAGACCGTCATTTAGCACAAGTTTATTTGGCACGATTTGGGTATAGTACGATTGAAGAATTGCAGCACAATTTTATGTAACACAACCTATGATGAATTTAACATGGTTCAGTTTGTGGGAAGGTAAAAAAGACTTCCCTTTCCTCAAGCGGCTGCCTTGTTGTGGTCAGCTGGGGAGACCTCCCACCGCCCCCATCCACCCCCTGACATCACCCCACCATCACTTGACTGACTTATTGAATGACTTGACTGACTTACTGAATCACTTGTCTGACTTACTGAATGACTTGACTGACTTGAATGACTTGAGACTTACTGAATGACTTGAGGCTTACTGAATGACTTGAGACTCACTGAATCACTTGACTGACTTACTGAATCACTTGACTGACTTACTGAATCACTTGACTGACTTACTGAATCACTTGATTGAATGACTTAAAGTTAGACACTCCAGTACAACCATCAACTTCAATACAGAACCTCTACCATCCACCTCAGCCCAGTAAGGCCACAACATAACTCTCCACTCTCTTCACAATCATCCACAAACACCAGCACCCACAATTTAAGGTAAGAAATATTATTATTTCTGTTACATTTGTAGTCTTAAGCTGTAAAAACAACATAATACATCATAACAATGAACTACAATTACATTTTCACTAAAAAAAGTTGTTTGGCTTTTTTGGGGCTCTCAGGAACATAACCCTATTTTTCCCATAAGTTCTTCAGTTCATCTAACATGGTTTTACCTAACACGTTGTTTTCAGGAATGTAACTACCGTGTTAAATGATGATCTACTCTATATACAAAGTATTTATAGGTCCCAGCAATGTTTTGGATATGTGGAAGTCTTCTTTCTTTCAACACACCGGCCGTATCCCACCAAGGCAGGGGGGCCCCAAAAAAGAAAAACGAAAGTTTCTCTTTTAAATTTAGTAATTTATACGGGAGAAGGGGTTACTAGCCCCTTGCTCCCGGCATTTTAGTCGCTTCTTACAACACGCATGGCTTAGGGAGGAAGAATTCTTTTCCACTTCCTCATAGAGATAAGAGGAAATAAACAAGAACAAGAACTAGAAAGAAAATAGAAGAATACCCAGAGGGGTGTGTATATATATGCTTGTACATGTATGTGTAGTGTGACCTAAGTGCAAGTAGAAGTAGCAAGACATACCTGAAATCTTGCATGTTTATGAGACAGACAAAAGACACCAGCAATCCTACCATCATGTAAAACAATTACAGGTTTTCGTTGTACACTCACTTGGCAGGACGGTAGTACCTCCCTGGGCGGTTGCTGTCTACCAGCCTACTACCTATAATGTGGAAGTATATAACAATAATAATAATAATAGTAATAATAATAATAATATGTAATAATGAGTTCCCTTGAAGCATGAAAACAAGCCTCAGTCCACCCTTGACAGTGATGTGATAAAATGAGATAACATTAGATAAGAGCTGACATTTGATGAGCATACGCGAGGGTGCGGTGATAGGACTTGATAAGATAAGATTAGAGGTGTCATCACGTTTACTCATATCTTCAAGCAGAGTATAGCACTTTGTCTGGATTTTTTGGGTTATCCTAGGTAATTTACACTATGTATACTTGTATTTATGTGTACCTGTGAGACAGAGACAGACAAAGATAGAGACAGAGACAGACAAAGATAGAGACAGAGATAAACATAGACACAGACAAACAAACGGAGCCAGGCCGCCAGCAGCTGGCCAGCCAGGTGGCCAGCCAGCCAGCCAGCCAGCCAGCCAGCCAGCCAGCCAGCCAGCCAGCCAGCCAGCCAGCCAGCCCAGCCAGCCAGCCAGCCAGCCAGCCAGAGCAGCCAGCCCCAGCCAGCCAGCCAGCCAGCCAGCCAGCCAGCCAGCACCAGCCACAGCCAGCCAGCCAGCCAGCCAGCCAGCCAGCCAGCCAGCCAGCCAGCCAGCCAGCCAGCCAGCCAGCCAGCCAGCCAGCCAGCCAGCCAGCCAGCCAGCCAGCACACCAGCCAGCCAGCCAGCCAGCCAGCCAGCCAGCCAGCAGCCAGCAGCCAGCCAGCCAGCCAGCCAGCCAGCCACCAGCCAGCCAGCCAGCCAGCAGCCACCAGCCAGCCAGCCAGCCAGCCAGCACCCAGCCAGCCAGCCAGCCAGCAGCCCGCAGCCAGCCAGCCAGCCAGCCAGCCAGCCAGCCAGCCAGCCCCCGCAGCCAGCCAGCCAGCCAGCAGCCAGCCAGCCAGCCAGCCAGCCCGCCAGCCAGCCAGCCAGCCAGCCAGCCGCCAGCCAGCCAGCCAGCCAGCCAGCCAGCCCCGCCAGCCAGCCAGCCAGCCAGCCAGCCAGCCAGCCAGCCAGCCAGCCAGCCAGCCAGCCAGACCAGCCAGCCAGCCAGCCAGCCAGCCAGCCAGCCAGCCAGCCAGCAGCCAGCCAGCCAGCCAGCCGCCAGCAGCAGCCAGCCAGCCAGCCAGCCAGCCAGCCAGCACAGCCAGCCAGCCAGCCAGCCAGCCAGCCAGCCAGCCAGCCAGCCAGCCAGCCAGCCAGCCAGCCAGCCAGCCAGCCAGCCAGCCAGCCAGCCGCCAGCCAGCCAGCCAGCCAGCCTGCCAGCACAGCCAGCCAGCCAGCCAGCCAGCCAGCCAGCCAGCCAGCCAGCCAGCCAGCCAGCCAGCCAGCCAGCCAGCCAGCCAGCCAGCCAGCCAGCCAGCCTGCCAGCCAGCCAGCCAGCCAGCCAGCCAGCCAGCCAGCCAGCCAGCCAGCCGCCAGCCAGCCAGCCGCCAGCAGAGCCGCAGCCAGCCAGCCAGCCAGCCAGCCAGCCAGCCAGCCAGCCAGCCAGCCAGCCAGCCAGCCAGCCAGCCAGCCAGCGCCAGCCAGCCAGCCAGCCAGCCAGCCAGCAGCCAGCCAGCCAGCCAGCAGCCAGCCGCAGCCAGCCAGCCAGCCAGCAGGCCAGCCAGCCAGCCAGCCAGCCAGCCAGCCAGCCAGCCAGCAGCCAGCCAGCCAGCCAGCCAGCCAGCCAGCCAGCCAGCCAGCCCAGCAGCCAGCAGCAGCCAGCCAGCCAGCCAGCCAGCCAGCCAGCCAGCCAGCCAGCAGCCAGCCAGCCAGCCAGCCAGCAGCAGCCAGCCAGCCAGCCAGCCAGCCAGCCAGCCAGCAGCCAGCCAGCCAGCCAGCCAGCCCAGCCAGGCCAGCCAGCCAGCCAGCAGCCGCAGCCA